GTTAGGACTGAAATGGAGAAGGTCTTACCTACAAAACAAGTAATTATTTACTTGTCTTGCAGAAGTAATAAACGCAAGCGGACTAAGAAGGGCTGGTGGTGTAACAGACTAGCTCTCCTGTGGATTGACATGTGCAGTGCTGAAAAGCAGTGGTGTAGGTGTAAAGGACCTCGTAAAAGTGTTTTTAAATGTATATATGTTTCTAAACGAAAATATTTCGATCAACAAGTACAAAAGGCGAAACGTGACCACACTCGTCGAACCCTACAGGAGTTAGAAGAATTGTGTAGCTCTAATAGCGGGGAATTTTGGAGGAAAATAGGGCGAGTAGGAGTAGGGGAAGAAAGAAGAAAGAAGATTCCGATGGAAGTGACGCGTGAAGACGGCAGCGTTAGTAATGACGTCACTATGGTACTAGAGACTTGGCGTAAGGCCTACAGTGACCTTTTGAACGGTAACTCCGCGATTAGTGACATACAGACTGACAACGAGGACACAACAGGAAATATTTTCAACACTAGTATATCTGTCGACGAGGTAAGGAGAATTATTCAACTAGCAAAAGCGGGAAAGTCCCCTTGATTCGATAGTATCCCAGTTGATGTGCTGAAGAACGAGACAAGCATTTTATATCTACATAAACTGTTTGCCACCTGCTTTGAAAGTGGGTGTGAGCCTTCAAGCTGGGCTAAGGGAGTGATTACACCCATTCCGAAGTCGGGTTCTCAAGACCCCCGTGACCCCCTCTCCTACCGAGGTATCACTTTGGCTAGTGCCTCGTATAAATTATATTGTGGTGTTCTCAACAACAGACTCAGTGAATATGCTGAAGAACAGGAACTTATACATGATCATCAGAATGGTTTTAGAAAGAGTCGGTCAACCGTGGAACACATCTCAAGTCTGACGTCTATCATAGAAACAAGAAAATCACAGAACAAGTCTACTTTTACAGCATTTATTGATTTTAAAAAAGCCTATGATTGCATTGATAGGTCTCTACTTTGGGAGAAACTAAGATCTCTTGGTGTGAATGGTAACATGTATAAAGCTATTTTATCACTTTATAAAAATGTCAAATGTGCTGTGCGTATTAATGGGCAATATACATCATGGTTCGATGTGCAGTGTGGTTTAAAGCAAGGTTGTTTACTGTCACCACTTATGTTTAATCTGTATGTTAATGATCTCATTGTTTCAATTGAGAATTTATCTCTGGGTGTTAAAATTGACGAGACCAGCATCGGAGTTTTGGCCTATGCTGATGATATTGTTTTAATTGCTGAAAATGAGAATGATTTAAATGTTATGCTGGACTGTTTACATAATTGGTGTATATCCAATAAGATGACTGTCAATAATGTTAAATCCAAAGTTGTTCATTTTAGACGCCCGTCAGTTTCAAGAAGTAATGTTTTATTTGTATGTGGTGATACGGAATTGGAGACAACAGATTGTTATAACTATTTAGGTTTGCTTTTAACAGAGCATTTAGATTATTTACGCATGGCAAAATCTGTAGCTAATTCCGCTAGTCGGGCACTTGGCTTATTAACTACTAAGTATAAAGTGTTAGGCGGTATGCCTTATCAAACATATTCCAAGTTGTTTTTTTCTATGGTTTGGTCCACCATTAATTACGGCGTATCCATATGGGGCACCTATAAATCTTCATGTATAGATGCTGTACAAAACCGTGCAATGAGGTTTTTTATGGGTTTACGTAAATATGCCCCAAACAATGCTGTTAGTGGCGACATGGGTTGGTGCCCACCCTTTGTTAATCAGTGGCGAGGTGTGTCTAGATTATTTAGGCGATTATGTAATTTAGATCCATTCCGTATAACAAGTAAAATCTTTGTTTGGAGTAATGTTTCTGCTGTAGTAAGGAAACGGAATTGGAATTTTAGAGTGCACGTTAAATTTTGTGATCTTGGTCTCCAACATTTTAATAACATACACGTTAACTATCATATTCCCTTTGTCGTTTCGGAAGTGACACGTAAATTATTTGATCGTTTTAACTCTTCTTGGAAAAATTCTATTTCAAATGTAAATGGTACAACGAGCAATGGAGGTAATAAGTTAAGAACATATGCTACCTTTAAGGATGAATATCATCCTGAATTTTATTTATTTAGCCACATGCCTCGCTCTTATAGACGTGCTTTAGCACTTTTCAGATGTGGCATTGCTCCTCTAAGAGTTGAAACTGGACGTTATAATTGTACTCCTCTAAAGGAAAGAACATGTTTTTACTGTAATGATTTTATTGAAGATGAATGTCATGTTTTACTGCACTGTCCACTTTATTCTTTTGAAAGAGGTGTCCTTTTTAGTAAATGTGAACAGCTTAATATGAGCTTTTTGTCCTTTAGTGACTTTGATAAGATCCGATTTTTACTGTCCAATCCACAGGTGTCTTTTAATACAGCCAAAACCTGCTTTCTTATCATTCGGCGTCGACATGCCTTTTTATATTCTTAACTTCGTACTGTAAATATGTATTATATATCCTATGTTCTTTTAGTTTTGTATTTTATATGATATAGTCTCTCATAAGTCTGTAAAGATTGGCTCAACGTTTTATTATTCCCTTTTATGTACATATGTATGATGTTGAGGTGAGACTCAAATAAATTATCTGTCTGTCTGTCTGTCCCTAAACACACTCTTCTACTCTCAGGCACCACTTCAATCACACAAAGAATCAACCAAACAACACTCACTTACTGGGCTGGGGCCCAACACAATCCACTATTTAAACTCGTTACACACAAATACAACAACATAAAGAAATCAACACTTAAAAAATTCAAACTCAACCCTTTAAGAGTCTCATGCATCACCAACCTCTACAAACTGCTACATTCACAACAACTAAACGAAATACAACATACACCTCCCATTACAAGCTACACTCACAACAACTAAACGATATACAACATACACCTCCCATTACAAACTGCTACACTCACAACAACTAAACGACATACAACATACACCTCCCATTACAAGCTGCTACACTCACAACAACTAAACGACATACAACATACACCTCCCATTACAAACTGCTACACTCACAACAACTAAACGATATACAACACACACCTCCCATTACAAGCTACACTCACAACAACTAAACGATATACAACACACACCTCCCATTACAAACTGCTACACTCACAACAACTAAACGATATACAACACACACCTCCCATTACAAACTGCTACACTCACAACAACTAAACGATATACAACACACACCTCCCATTACAAGCTACACTCACAACAACTAAACGATATACAACACACACCTCCCATTACAAACTGCTACACTCACAACAACTAAACGACATACAACATACACCTCCCATTACAAACTGCTACACTCACAACAACTAAACGATATACAACACGCCCTCCCATTACAAGCTACACTCACAACAACTAAACGATATACAACATACACCTCCCATTACAAACTGCTACACTCACAACAACTAAACGATATACAACACACACCTCCCATTACAAACTGCTACACTCACAACAACTAAACGACATACAACATACACCTCCCATTACAAACTGCTACACTCACAACAACTAAACGATATACAACACACACCTCCCATTACAAGCTACACTCACAACAACTAAACGATATACAACACACACCTCCCATTACAAACTGCTACACTCACAACAACTAAACGATATACAACACACACCTCCCATTACAAACTGCTACACTCACAACAACTAAACGATATACAACACACACCTCCCATTACAAACTGCTACACTCACAACAACTAAACGATATACAACACACACCTCCCATTACAAACTGCTACACTCACAACAACTAAACGATATACAACACACACCTCCCATTACAAGCTGCTACACTCACAACAACTAAACGATATACAACACACACCTCCCATTACAAGCTGCTACACTCACAACAACTAAACGACATACAACATACACCTCCCATTACAAGCTACATTCACAACAAACCTCCACCCATCACAGACACCAACCTAGATAACATCCTCCATCAGCTAACAAAAGACACCAACAAATCCACTATAACAAACATCACAAACAACTACATCAACAACAGCTACCCCACCCACACTCATATATACACAGATGCTTCAATCAACCAAAACAAAACCACTGGTATAGGCATTCATGTCCAACAAAACCCCCCTATTACAACCAACCTCCACTATACAAACTACACCACAATAACTACTGCAGAACTCACAGCTATTCTCACTGCACTACACTTAATCCCCACTCTCCCCCAGACCAACTTCCTCATTCTCTCCGACTCACTCAACTCCATCAGGCAAATACAAAACAAGCACTCCAAATCTCGTCCAGACCTTATCCACAATATAGTTATCCAAACCGACTCACTTAAACGATCAAACCAAAATATAACATTTATCTGGATTCCCAGCCATTCAAACATACCTGGAAATGACACAGCTGACACAGCAGCCAAACTAGCAACAACCCACACATCACCGAATATAAACTTTCACACATCCAAGACAGAAATTAAGCAACTCATCAAATCAAACATACTACATACCAACTTCCATCACAACATCAACACAAACAAATCAACATGGGTCACATCAATAATAAAATCACCATTAAGGAAAATCCCTGTATACTCTAACATTAAAAACATTGACACGGCTATACACAGACTCATCACAGGCATCACAAACCTAAACCACACACTTTATAAACAAAATAGACATACAGATGGCTTATGTACACACTGCAATACTCAAGACGACATAAACCACATACTCATTCACTGCAAACTACAACAAGCAAATATCAAGCAACTACACAACAGCATTCCCCCTAAATATCACAATATCCCACTACTCCTTAATCCACACAAACCCCCGACCCCCCACCCCAACCCCATCATCTTCAACGCCATAGCAGCTTACCTTCAAAACTCAAACCTAATTCAAAGGATCTAGAACCTATGGTGTCCTATAATTGCCATCGCGTGGCTCGTAAAAAAAGAACTACGTCGTGGGCGACGTCGCCCACGACGTCGCATAAAAAGACGACGTCGCGCTTTGTAAAATATATTTTGGCTACAAAAATAACGGGCGATGTCGTGGGCGACGTCGTGAACGACGTCATGGGCGATGTCGTGAGCGACGTCGTGGTCGACGTCGCAGGCGACGTCGGACTATATCGAGTGGTTATCGGCCTCTGAACGTGGCTGACCAAGGTTACGTCTAAAAGAAGAATCGTTAAACGAAACAGGATTTAAAACGCAAAAAATGCTTCAGTCACTCCCGATAAACATTTCTGTCCACCCGAAAATGTTTTTACACCTATATCCAATCAAATACCACCCTAGAAGGCCACTGTTCATTGTACGTAAGGCATACCCATCTGCAAATGAAACGATCTCTTCCCCACACTCTAAACATAATCACCGCCACTATTGTTCGGTCCGGCATACCTCGGGCCGTCAAAAGCAGCTTAAACCTCACACATGTATCTTGAATTGCGTTTTAATTCACAGATTAGTATTACATCTACCTATATATAACTTTTCCAGCCCCTTTCTCTCTCCATTTTCACCCGTAAAGGTCCGGATTAGAAAGTGCCTTCAGTAACCCATGCTTGTCGTAACGGGAGCGGGTGGTCAGACTCGCTGACTTGGTTGACATATGTCATCGGTTCCGAAATGCGCAGATCGATGTTCATGCTGTTGATCACTGGATTGTCTGGTTCATACTCGATTATTTACAGACAGCCGCCATATAGCTGGAATATTGCTGAGTGCGGCGTAAAACTAAACTCACTCACTCACTCACTCTCTATTTTCAACATAGCCTCAATCAAAAGTGTTAAGTTTCTGTTGGCCCCACTTGGCCGGAGCTGTCAAAAGCAACTTAAACCTCGCACATGTATCTTGAAGTCTCACAGATGAATCCTAGATTCTGTTTACATCCAATGAATATAGTTATATCTATCTAAATACCACTTTATAGAACCAGTTTTCTTTGTAACATCACAATGTGGCATTTAGGTAGATATAATACTGATCTATGGATTTAAACACATTTCAAGATACATGTGTGAGGTTTAAGTTGCTTTTGACAGCCCGGGCCAAGTCGGGCGAACAGAACTGAACACTTTGATTGAGGCTATTTTGAGGGTTGGCAGACAAGGGCTTCACTTTAACGGAGCAGTTACCTTTACATGTGGCATTTTGTAACATTTCAATGTGATATGTAGGTAGATATAATACTAATCTATGGATTTAAGCACAATTAAAGATACACCTTTGAGGTGTTAGGTGCTTTAGACGACTCGAGCCAAGCCGGACCGAACGCTTGTGACACAGTGTGTTTGTTCAGAATATATAGAAATGAAGGCTGCACTTCGAGCAACGTGTTTGCTTAAAATACTACGCTTTGAGACTCTATAAAGAAGTATTTAGGTACTGGTAGATATAATACCATTTTGCCTTTCATGTGTACTAGCAAATTTAAGCATATGCATACGCGCTGGCTATCGGATTTGGGATGGTGTTGTTTACGGTTTAGAATACAATGAAAACACATAAGAATGTGTGTGTGTGTAAATGTATACTTTCTTTGATCCTTTATAACATATTAAAAAAGGTTGTGATTTAGTATATTTCTTTTAACATATATAATCATGTCATAATTTCCCATATAATATGGGGAGCAAATTATTTCGAAGCCATTGAAAATGTCCATGCATCTTATTTTAAAAGATTTCTTACAGAAGGTATATTTGCTTCCAATAAAGCCATACTTGGCGAAACAGGATGCTATAACATGCATATTGAGAGTCAAATAAGAGTTATTAGATACTGGATTAAACTTATAAGAATGCCTGATTATCGCTACCCCTATCAAAGCTGTCAAATATTGTTATCACTGGATAAATGTGGAAAGTATTCATGGGCTTCAGATGTGAGAAATATGTTATTTTCAAGCGAGTTTTCTCATGTTTGATTTAAGCAAAATGTTGGTGATATAAAAATGTTTTGTCAACATTTAAACAACGAATAAAAGATATATATTCACAGTTGGTACGCATCAGTCAATTCATCGAGTTTTCTTAGTCATTATTCACAATGTAAATCGATGTTCGGACCTGCAAAATATGTCAGTGTTCTTAATGATAAGTCCCTTTTAAGAATTTTTTGTAAATTTAAAATCTCTCTTCATGCCTTAAAAATACAACGTTTTAGAAAAGATAATAATATATTGGAAGATTTATCATGTTCTTATTGTTCTTCTGGTAAAACTGAAGACGAACGACACTTATTATTAGTCTGTAAGACTTTCTCTGCCTGCCGAAAGAAGTATTTAAAATGCACTAATGATGCCCCACAAACGATATTCAATGTACTTAATTCTAATAATGCTGATATTATTAAAGCTGTTGCCATTTTCATGAAACATTTGATGTCCATCCGTAAATCACATGTAAAATCATAATTTAATGTCACGTGACCAATAGTTGTAATTGAGTAACTTCAATTGTACTCTGGGCCACTGGGCCTTAACTACTGAATAAAGCCTGTGTGACTGTCTGTGTGTCTATCTGTCATTGTCCAGGTACTCCATCAATGTCGGGTGGTTATTTGCAAGCCTGAACTTCAAGGTATCTAGTCGTTCCTCCAAATCTCTGTACTTCTATTTGGGGTCAGTCTTTGGCCGGCATTGTACTGAAGCATCTTTGCCTCGTTCAGTCCTTGTTCATCTTCCAGGAACTTGGCCATCTCGAATAGGGTGGGATGTTGTTTTGCCACAACCTTCATGAGACGGCCATGCCAATTGCAACCCCGGAGGTTGTTGTTTGTGCGGGGGCCGTCAGTATTTTTGGTACAGTCGAAAAGATTCACTTTGACTTCGCTGTGTACAGGTCCGTGGTTGTGGTCTCCAGGTACTTGGGAAATTATGTCGTTCACTGTTAAGACTGATATGCAGTCGTTCTGAATGCATCTCCACGAGATCCATTTTCCCCTTTTCTTCTTGTTCACAATAAACATATAACCATTTACATATATGTATGTTCCACCACGAGAAGTATAAAGAAACCTATTGTGCATTTTCCATAACTGAATTTGTGGAAATGATGATGAAAACTGTCAATTCCAACATTCTTATAGCTTGCACGTTTATGTAAGAAATTGAATAACTCACTACTAATGAACTGAGTGAACTAAACTCACTCACTAAACCCGCTGGTTCACATGTCAACCCGCTGGTACAAAAGTCATATTTCGTTTCCTGAGTGGAGACATTTTACATTTTGTAGAAAACCAGTGTTTTGATCCTTTAAAACAACACCGTTTTCACAACATCAAGCATCAACTAAATTTGACAGAATTTTTTACTTCAGGTGTTCTGGCGCTTACCCCTCGATTGGTTTACTTAAATAAGTAGTAATGTTGAACATGAAATCAGTGATTAGAGATCAATAGCAGTATAACTGCACCACAAAAGGTTATTCCCCGATTTTCAAATATAACAATTTCTAAACACGACGTCGATTTTGTATTTTTGTCGTAGATCTCTCTTGTGTATTTCTGCGCGACGTCGTGGACGACGTCTTACACGACGTCGTGGGCGACGTCGTCTTTTTTTATGCGACGTCGTGGGCGACGTCGCCCACGACGTAGTTCTTTTTTTTACGAGCCACGCGATGGCAATTATAGGACACCATACATTAGCGAGAGGGGAGAGGTAGCGTGCCGTGTGCAGAGTATGGGTAATTGAGTTTGAGCGGCGGGTCTGAAAGTGTGGGCTTATTTGTTATACTTGGGACATAGAATGGATAACTGAGGGTTGAACGCCTGGTCTAAATGTAACAGTAGGTTGAAGGTGAGAGAGGTATGGTGTCCTATAATTGCCATCGCGTGGCGCGTAAAAAAAGAAGTACGTCGTGGGCGACGTCGCATAAAAAAGACGACGTCGCGCTTTGTAAAATATATTTTGGCTACAAAAAATAACGGGCGACGTCGTGGGCGACGTCGTGAACGACGTCGTGGACGACGTCGTGGGCGACGTCGTGAGCGACGTCGGACTATATCGAGTGGTTATCGGCCTCTGAACGTGGCTGACCAAGGTTACGTCTAAAAAGAAGAATCGTTAAACGAAACAGGATTTAAAACGCAAAAATACTTCAGTCACTCCCTATAAACATTTCTGTCCACCCGAAAATGTTTTTACACCTATATCCAATCAAATACCACCCTAGAAGGCCACTGTTCATTGTACGTAAGGCATACCCATCTGCAAATGAAACGATCTCTTCCCCACACTCTAAACATAATCACCGCCACTATTGTTCGGTCCGGCATACCTCGGGCCGTCAAAAGCAGCTTAAACCTCACACATGTATCTTAAATTGCGTTTTAATTCACAGATTAGTATTACATCTACCTATATATCACTTTTCCAGCCCCTTCCTCTCTCCATTTTCACCCGTGAAGGTCCGGATTAGAAAGTGCCTTCAGTAACCCATGCTTGTCGTAACGGGAGCGGGTGGACAGACTCGCTGACTTGGTTGACATATGTCATCGGTTCCGAAATGCGCAGATCGATGTTCATGCTGTTGATCACTGGATTGTCTGGTTCATACTCGATTATTTACAGACCGCCGCCATATAGCTGGAATATTGCTGAGTGCGGCGTAAAACTAAACTCACTCACTCACTCACTCTCTATTTTCAACATAGCCTCAATCAAAGTGTTAAGTTTTGTTGGCCCCACTTGGCCGGAGCTGTCAAAAGCAACTTAAACCTCGCACATGTATCTTGAAGTCTCACAGATGAATCCTAGATTCTGTTTACATCCAATGAATATAGTTATATCTATCTAAATACCACTTTATAGACCCAGTTTTCTTTGTAACATCACAATGTGGCATTTAGGTAGATATAATAATGATCTATGGA